AGCTATGAATTCAGTAACTGTGGGCATTCTGTGGTATTTGGCTCTAATGACTGTTATATTTTTAATTTGATGAGCAATTCCTTTCAAGACTCTCATTTCTTATGAGTTAAGAAAGTCTCCCATTTCTAATAGCTCTGAACTCCAACTCACTGGTGGTAATTAAACTCAAATTAAAATATCAAGCTGAAGACCGGTGGTGGTGGCGCACGCCTTTAATCCCAGCACTCGGGAGGCAGAGGCAGGCGGATCTCTGTGAGTTCGAGGCCAGCCTGGTCTACAAGAGCTACTTCCAGGACAGCTTGTAGGCTATAGGACAGCTTGTAGGGTATCTTCTTAATTGGTGATTGATGGGGAGGGTTCAGTCCATAGTGGGTGCCACCCCTGGGCTGGTGGTCCTGGGTTCTATAAGAAAGCAGGCTGAGCAAGCCATGGTGAGCCAGTTAGTAAGCAGCCTCCTCCATGGCCTCTGCATCAGCTCCTGCCTCCAGGTTCCTGCCTGCTTGAGTTCCTGCCCTGACTTCCTTTGATGATGAACACTGGTGTGGAAGTGTAAACCAAATAAACCCTTTCCTCCCTAACTTGCTTTGGTCATGGTGTTTATAACAGCAATAGTAACCCTAACCAAGAGAGGTACTAAAGATCAATGAATTGTATATGTGACCTGTATCTTAATAAAGCTGTTTAAAATGACTGACAGCTTGGCAGAACATGCAAGCTACAAGAGAAACCAAATATACAAAGAACATATTTTACATTATAATTAATGTAAGTGCTAATTTATGGTCACATAATGTGTACATATGTATCATTTGTAATATAAAATATAAATGCTACATAACAAGTCGAGAACAAGCTGGCTTTAAAACATAAGAAATAAGCTAAGGAGGCGGCTGGGGGTCACAGTTCTTGCTGACAGGTGTGAGGTGACCTGAACGGCTTTCAGAGCACAAGTGTAAGAAGCAGTGTGCTTGGCAGAGCGTGGCTGTCAAGGCAGCTTAGGAGGCAGAAAGAGGAACCCAGGAGCTGGAGCCATGCAGTCTAGACAAACTGATGAGTTCCAGGTTCAGTGAGACACTGTCTCAAAAAATAAAGTAGATCTGGATGTAGTGGTGCACACCTTTAATCCCAGCACTCAGGAGGCAGAGGCAAGTGCATCTCTGTGAGTTCTAGGACAGCTAGGACTACATAGACAGACCCTGTCTCAAAAAAAAAAAAAACTAAAACTAAAGTGGAGAGTGATTGAGAAAGAGCTTTGTCTCCAACCTCTGGTCTTCGCATGCATGCAACCACACCATACACACATCCACATAAACATGTATGGACTGCCACCTTCCTCATCCCCTCAGCACCACATGCACACACACATGCACACTCTCTCTCTCTCTCTCTCTCTCTCTCTCTCTCTCTCTCTCTCTCTCTCTCTCTCTCTCTCTCTCTCTCACACCCACACACCAGTTCAGCAAGCACACAGCCAGCTCCCAAGAGGAAATCAGAAGGACCCATGAAGAGAAAGAGGCTCAATTCCCTTGACATGAGAAATAAACTTTGAAATGCCAACCAAGTGTCATTTCCTTCCTTCTAGCTCTTCAGATTGACAAAAGGCTACAAAAAATGGAGAATGCAAGGTGACATCTGGGGCCCAGAAGTGACAGGGCTCACAGTCTCCTCTTAGGACAGCAGAGTAGACTAAAGAAAGCTTTGAGGACGGGGGTGGGGCTGTTTCTTTTTATTGTTATTTAAAAAAATGTTTTTGGTACATTTGAAGTTGAGGGAAGTTTCACCCACATATGTGGGAGGCAGGCACAGAAATGGTTGTCTGAGCCGGGCGTTGGTGGCGCACGCCTTTGATCCCAGCACTGGGGAGGCAGAGGCAGGCGGATCTCTGTGAGTTTGAGGCCAGCCTGGTCTACAGAGCGAGTTCCAGGACAGCCTCCAAAACAATACAGAGAAACCCTGTCTCGAAAAACAAAAACAAAAAAAAACAAAAAAAAACAAAAAAAAGAAATGGTTGTCTGTTGCGTGTACGTGTGTATGAATACAAAACAATAGACAATTTAAATCTCAACGATAGGGTAGTGAATTACTGGAGTTTATTGGTATAATGGAACATTAGATAGCAGAAAAAATGAGCTTGGACTGAGGATATACCGCAGTTGGTAGAGCATTTGCCTGCAATATGCAAGGTCATGGGTTCAATCCCCAGTACTGTCAAATGAACAAGCTACTATATGCATTAAAAACACTAAAAGCATGAGCCATGTTTTGTCTCTTAGCTTGACGCAATAGAGGAAAGGGTGGGTGTGGTTGTAGCTCAGTTGATAGAGTGCTTGCTTAGCATGTACAAAGCCCTAGATTGCACCCAGCAGCACAGAACTAGGCGTGGGGCAAGCAGCCATAACCTCAATACTTGAGAGGTAGAGGCAGGAGGATCAGAAGTTCAAGGTCAACCTCAGCTACACAGCTGTACATACAGAGAGAGAGTGGGGAACAGGGGAGGAAGGGGGAGAGGAGGGCGAGGAGAGAGAGGAGGGAGAGATGAAGGAGAGTTGTCCATAAACACGTGTAACTGTTGCTTGTCCGTGGCCTGTGTCACTTCCGTCACACTGAGTATTAGCTGAGTGAGTCTCAAGGGCAAATGTAGACCTGCATGGCCGGAAAAGAGACTGTCAAAGGTTAGGGAAGGGTGGAGAACTGGGCCTCCATGGAGAGTGCTGTGTCTGTCACCACGCCTCTGTCTGGAGGTCAGGACTTGTGAGAACAAAGTGGGTAAGACATGACCCTTGAAGAGATGCCACCCACCTGCTGGAGGAGAGGTGGATGTGACCTCGCCCTGACAGTCAACAGGTTCTAGCCTTCGTCTCCCTCACGCTCACCAGGAATAGGTTCTTCCTTCGTCTCCCTCACTCTCACCAGTGTCCCTCCTTCGTCCCTTGCCTTCTGGACTCTTGGCCATTTCAAGCCTCGCCACCCTGTTCCCTTTCCTTGTAACACTTCCTTCTCCCCTGAATTAGTTAATTTTCTGTTGATGCCACAAAAACCAACTTTGGGAGAAAGGTTTTATTTCAGCTTATAGTCCCAGAGGATGCAGCCCATCAAGGTGGGGGATATGGTGACAGGAACTTCGGGCAGCTGGTCACGTGTGTCCACAGAAAGCAGGAGATGCAGGCTGGTCACGTGTGTCCACAGGAAGCAGGAATTGCAGGCTGGTCACATGCATCCACAGGAAGCAGGAATTGCAGGCTGGTCACATGTGTCCACAGGAAGCAGGAATTGCAGGCTGGTCACGTGCATCCACAGGAAGCAGGGATTGCAGGCTGGTCACATGTGTCCACAGGAAGCAGGAGATGCAGGCTGGTCACATGTGTCCACAGGATGCAGGAGATGCAGGCTGGTCACGTGTGTCCACAGGAAGCAGGAGATACAGGCTGGTCACGTGTGTCCACAGGAAGCAGGAGATGAGGCTGGTGCTCAGCTGACTTTCTCTTTATATTCAGTCCAGGACCCCAGCCCAGGGAATGGTGCCACCCACAGGGTCAGTCTTCCCATTGCATTTAACCCTGTCTAGAAACTCCTCACAGACATCCTCAGAAGTATGTTTTGAAGGTTTGCTTTACTATTGTGTGTGTGTAGGTGTGTTCACATGAATGCAGGTAGATCCTTTGGAGCTGGAGTTATATGTGGTTGTGAGCTGCTAGGGCGGCAGGTGTTCATCTGCTGATTTCTCCAGATTTGTCTCCACGTGAGTCTAGAGCCTATATAGTTGATGATCAGTATAAGCATCACAGTCTTAAACGCTGCTGTAGGGTTCAGGGGTCGCTTCCTCATCTTAAAATTCAGTGAAGCGATAGCCGGGGTGTGTATGTGTGTGTGTGTGGGGGGGGGATAACAAGCCTTGCAGAGTGCTAGTCTCAGGTGGTGACTCTATCTAGGTAACACATCAGTTAACCGACACATCCCAGTGGCTTTCCTACATGTTTGTCCAGATCCAAATAGAACATAGCCTAGGAGAAATAAGTCCTGAAGGATGGGGTAGGAAGACCTAAAACGCACATGGTGGAAGGAGAGAGCCGACCCCCAGGTGACTGGCCACCCCAAACCCATGGCAACCCCCCTCAGCCTCCTGTGTTTGGGAGTTGCAGGCATAAGCCACCACTTCCCGCCGAAGCATTTCTTCTAAAAAGTGTCTTTTAAGTTTTAGAAATGCAACACGATTCAGATTTCTAAAAGAAGACCTGACCTATGCAAAACTATATGAAAATAATAAGGGCCAAGCTTATAACTCAAGTGTTCAGGAGCCAGAGGCACACAGATTTCCGTGAGCCTGAGGCCAGTCCGGTCTACATAGACCTTGTAGCAAAAGGAAGAAGGAGAAGGATGGAGGAAGAGAAGGAACACGGTTATGGAGGTGTCTCACGGGATTAAAGGGCTCGCTACATGAGCCTGACCACCGGAGTTCAATCCTTAGTGCTCACGATGGAGGGGAGAACGCGTCGGCCTCTGGGAGCTACATTCATCATGGCACACGTGTTCCTGTGCTCACACACACAGACACAGACACTCTGGAGAGGAGGAGGGAAGAACAGAGAGAGAGCCAGGCATGGTGGTGCATGCCTGTAATCCTAGCTCCTGGGTGGTTAGAGACAGGAGGATCAGGAAAGCCACTTTCAGCCATGTAGCAAGTTTGAGACTAGCCTGAGCTACATGAAACCCTGTCTCATAAAGCCAAAAAGTGAGGTCAGGGAGCTAGCTGGCTCTGCAGTTAAGAGCACTGGCTGCTCTTCCAGAGGAGCCGGAGTGATTCCCAGCACCCGCAGGGCTGCTCCCAACCATTTGTAACTTCAGTTCCAGGGGACCCAGTGCCCTCTTCTGGCCTCTGAGAGCACCAGGCACTCTCAAGGTGCACATACATACACGCATGCAAAACACCCATGTACATAAAATGGAATTATAAAACGAAAATTTATAAAAGACGGGAAGAAAAAGAAAAATAGGCTCCATGGTACGGGTCTGAGAGGTGGTGTTTATTAAACCAAGCCTTCAAATTATACACCCGCCTACAGTCCATACAAGTACATATACAGTACATAAACAGTACATATGGGGTAAGAGGCTAGCCAAGTAGAACTGAAGAGAAACAATTCCGTTTGGACACTGCCCCCTCGCCACAGCACCCTCCTGAGGCCCGCTCTCGGAACGCCAGAAGGCTGGACCCCAGAGATTCACCTCCAGCTATGGTGGGGAGGAGAGTAGCAAGGAATAGTTTAGTTTTACATTCACAGATTCAGTATGTACTCTAGGTGCCTCTGTTCCTATTGCCACAGCTCGTAAGAAGCATCCGTCAGCAGGTGGTTACAAAGATACATGACTCACAGCGTGATGCTTCTGGCTGTCTGAGAACAAACTTAGATTTCCCTGCTCCCATCGTGTGTGGGTTAGGATAAGCACGTCAACTGACGTCAGTCAGTAAGGGGCATTCATGAGGGAAGGACCCAGAAGAACGAGGCCTAGAGAGACAGTGGACGTCAATGAGGGTGTAAATGAGGATACAAGACACAGGACGTTAACAATTCCTCATTGTAGACTTGTAGACACCACAGTAGCTTGCAGCCCTTTGGATATCTTAAAAAGTAACTCTTTGTTACCTATGTACAAATTTTTTTAAAAAGATTCATCCGGAGGCAAGAAAAGAATTTAAATTGACAACATCATTATGAAAACTGAAAACTTCAGCTGTGCGCTTCCGTAGACTTTTAGGTATGGGCCTTCCACAATGCTCCAAAAGTCTTTCGGGAGAGTTTAAAAATTCCCATAAAAACTTATTTTTACAATCATTTCAGTTATATGCGGGGTGTTGAGCGGGGTGGGGGATACCAAGCTCAGGATGAAGGAGAGAAAAGTGGAAAGTCCCCGAAGCTAGAAGCACGTGACTGGATGGCATTCACATGTCCACCCTCACGGGCTGGTAATTTTTAAATAGACATACACTCATTCACAGTCTAACTCTAGACTCCAAAGCACTCACTCCATATAGTGTGCGTTTCAGCGAGGCTGACATCACCTTATCTGTACTCGACCCTGTCACCTGGAAGCTCCCTCAAAACTGCAATGCCAGCTGCTCAGGGGACAGAGGCAAGAAGTTGGCAAGTTCAAGGCCAGCCCAGGCTACACAGAACAAACTCTCCCAGGTAGTTAGCTCTCCTAATTTCCTGTGGGGAGTGAGGGTCACCTCCCTCTGTAGCAGTCTTCTCTAGACATTTGGGCTGATAGTACGATCTAAGTGTTGGGACTTGTTAACTTAGTAGGGTCTATGCGGGTGTTAGCACCCAGGCTACACCTAGGAAAGTGTGCAGAGGCGACTTTTTCCAAGCTCGCCTGGCCATTCCAGGGGCCACCTATAGAGAGCACTGTTCAACGAAGGCCAAGCTAGAACAGATTCTTCAGTGCAGTGGCTCTCAAATTGTAGTGGACTTCAGAAACTCACGGGAGGCATGTTGAAACACAGGGGTTATTCTTGAGGCCTGGGAACCCGCTTTCTTAAGAGTACAGTGACCCTGCTGCATTGGGGACATCACTTGCAGCAGTGACCTTCCTCAAGACTCTTTGTCCCACAAATCCCCAAGGCAGGAAGCCTCCTGTGGCCTCAGGGAAGGCTGCAGGTAGCATTCCTACAAATGGTCAGCTAGAGGTCAAAGAGGCCCAGTGACATCCTGGAGGGATAGAGGAATATATACTAGGCTCCTGTTCATGTCCCTGGGGGACCAGGGACCACTATGGCTTCTTACATGAGGAGTGACCGTGGCCTCTTTCAGGTTTCCATAAGCCTGAAGAGACACAGGTGCAAAAAAGCCCCACCCAACAAAGAGCATGATAAAGTGTCTGTCCCCAGAAGGATACGTCTGCCACTGCAGGGATGTCCCCTCCTCTGCCACTGCAGGGATGTCCCCTCCTCTGCCACTGCAGGGATGTCCCCCCCTCTGCCACTGCAGGGATGTCCCCCCCTCTGCCACTGCAGGGATGTCCCCCCCTCTGCCACTGCAGGGATGTCCCCCCCTCTGCCACTGCAGGGATGTCCCCATGTAAAAGCCCATCCTGGCAGCTAGTGAGGAGGAAAGAGGCAAGAAATGGGACATCTTTATCACAAAGAAATGTGTAAGTGGATTAGCCAATTAACACACCCGATTGTTAGTCAGCCAACCCACAATCCAGGGAGTTTTCTGGATAATTGTATCAGAGAAAAAAACCAATTCCTCCTTCCACTCATATTAAATGAGTCACATCCATAGAATTCATAAAATTTAGCTGAGTTCGTTCCAATCTCACAAGCTGCCCCGGTGGAGAGATTTTGAATGTGATCATTGAAATATAGACACCTGTTTTGGGTTCAGAGACACAACCCACAGAATGAGAAAGGAGAATGCCCACACAAGTGCGTGCACACACACACACACACACACACACACACTCTCTCTCTCTCTCTCTCTCTCTCTCACTCTCTCACTCTCTCACTCTCTCTCTCAGCAGGTGACGTGCCTGTCCCAGCACAGGATCAAAGCTGTAACATTGTGTATGTGCTGCTCAGGGTCAGAGTACAGCTCAGCAGGGATCTCACTGCCAAGCCCTGGTTTCCTGGGTGACCCCACGGTAGGCAAGGCTGCCCCTGTTGGCTGCCCAGTTCCCTTCAGATGTGCTCCGGGTGGCTCTGTAGGCAGGACAGCATCTCTGTGACGGGCTTGCCTTCGTAGCAGATCTGATACACCGCTGTGAAGAGTGGAAACCTGGAGGGGCAGGAAGGGGAGGACACGTTAGATTGCTCACCTTGCCTCTTGGAGTGGGTTCGGGTGTGTGTGCGCCACGCGTGTGCACGGGCACACGCTAGTGATGTAACAGACCGACACCCCCACCCCACCCCACCCCACCCCCGCCCCCCACCCCCAGGGCTGAGCACAACTGATACCATGATGCAAGAACAATTCATGCCTAGAAACCCAACACATAGGCAGGGTTATCTGCCAAAAGGAGAACAAAGACCTAATCCATCAAGGTCCACAGCTCTGGGAAGTCCCTAAATGTGCTAGCCTTGCTTTCTGGCTCCTGTAGTTGCGATTCTGGCTGACTGAGGTGTGTCAACTCAGGATACAGTTTTCATGCTTAAAAGCTCACCCATGAGAAAGGTGCAGGGCCTCACTGGGATCCTCAACTCCAAGCTGGCTAATAAAGATTCCCTGTTGGCCTAAACCCACGTCTGAGTAGTCTTCTCTGTGGATAACATGCAACATATACCTGCAGGTGTGTGTGTGTGTGTGTGTGTGTGTGCGCGCGCGCAGAGATCAGAAGACAACTTTGGGGGTTGGCTTCAGAAACTTTGGTTTGTTTATTTAAGACAGGGTCTCATTACATAGCCCTGGCTGGCCTGAAACTCACTAAGTAGAGCAGGCTGGCCTCAAACTCAAGAGATCTGCTTGCCTCTGCCTCCTGAATGCTGGCTGGCATTAAGGGTGTGAGCCACCATGCCTGGCCCATGTTTTGTGTGAAATATGATCGTGTGCCACTTCCTGACTGAAGGGAAGTGCACATACTCTTGTGGTTGTGGCTGGCAGCTTCCCCGCAAGCTCTGGCAGCTAGGTCTCCCCCTCTAGAATTAGGGGGTGGTTAATGGTACATGTCCCTATGGTCTGGTACCTAAGTGCACCCCTCCACGCTTTGAGTGATTGGGAGGTACTGGGACCTTGGGGACATGAGACCTGAGGGGAGGAAGTGAGGTCACTGGGATACGGGAAACTTTCCTGACTCTGCAACCTGGCCTCCACAAAAAGATCTCCTCAGCCATGTGCTCCTGCAAGGATATCCTGCACCTGTACCTGCAGGGATTCAGGGATGTCCTGCACCTGCAGGGATGCAGGGATGTCCTGCACCTGCAGGGATGTAGGGATGTCCTGCACCTGCAGGGATGTAGGGATGTCCTGCACCTGCAGGGATGTAGGGATGTCCTGCACCTGCAGGGATGTAGGGATGTCCTGCACCTGCAGGGATGTAGGGATGTCTTGCACCTGCAGGGATGTAGGGATGTCTTGCACCTGCAGGGATGTAGGGATGTCCTGCATAGTCTTAAGCCCAAAGCAATGGGGCCAGGGGACCACAGGCTGAGACCTTTGAAACTATGAGCCAGAGAGACTTTTCTCTCCTCTCAGCTAGCCTCAAACACTGACAGTGGATTCCTGACCCTCCTGCCTCTGTCTGCTGAGTGTCAAGGCTAAAGGCGTGCACTGCTGTGCCGAGCTCACTCCCCCACTTTAAAATTCATGGTCTTACTTTGTAGTTAAGGCTGACTTTGAAATCCCTCTGTAGCCTAAGCTAGCCTCAAACTTGTAGCAATCCTCCTGCCTCAGTCTCCCCAGTGCTGCAGTTTCAGGCATGAACCACCATACCCAGCTCATGCTTCTGTTTCTTCATGAAAACCAAAATACCCAGGTGTGGTGACACACACTGACTTAAAACATTGACTTTTGTTGTTGTTGTTGTTGTTACTCAACTGCAGGGCTTTCAAGTGTGAACCTTGCAGATGACAATGTCATGTCACAATGTAGAAATGTTGGGCACACTTGACTAGAGTTTCGTATTCTATACCATGCTCCATCTATAGAATTGAGCTCTTCTCAACGAAGTTGACGTCGGTTCTGTGTATGTAGCTATTCTCCACCAGAGATGTCCAAGTCACATACAACAGATCCAGTCAGGTCCTGAGTACACTGGCCCAGCAGCTCCCTCACTCAGCCTCCGTGACTGTCTGAGGAACTAGCTGCGCGGACAACGGGGGGGGGTTCTCACTTGTCGAGTAGCGCCTTCTGCTTGAGGATACGGTACACCTCGGCGGACGTCTGTGGCCCCTGGAGCTTCTGCCCGTCCAGCATCTCCTTCTCCAGTTCCTCAATGGTCTGAGGAGCAAAGGAAAAAGACAGGGTCCACTTGAGCATTGTCCCTTCCCAGAGGTTGAGACATCCTGCTTCTTGGACATCCCGTAAGGAAAGACAAAGCCATGACATCTGCAGGCAGATGGGACTGGAGAGGGTCACATTAAGTGAAGTCACCCAGGCTCAAATAGTGCATGTTCTCCCACAGGAGGGTCTTGCCTGTGTGCGTGTGTACCTGTGTGTACCTGTGTGCCCATGCGTGTGTGCGCTTGTGCACGTGTGCGCGTGTGCATGCCTGCATGCATGTAGAGGCCAGAGGCTGATGTTGTCGGCGTCTTCCTCACTCCCTGTCCAGCTTCCCCCTGAGGCTCACCAGCTTAGCTGGGCCTGCTGACCTGTGAGCCCCGGCATCCTCCAGTCTCTGCCCCCGCCCTCGGCACTGACATTACAGGCTCACATGGCTACACCAGCTTTTCATGTGGGTCCCATGAGCCAATGTGAGGTCCTCGTGTTTGTGTGGCTGAGCCATCTCCCCAGCCTCCCAGCTTCTAGTTTCTGTGTCTGTATGTTACTGTGGGCGTGGGCAGAGACCAGGAGACTAGAAAGAAGCCCCCAGAAATGGGGGAGGGAATTTATGGGACCAGGCAGGGTAACAGAACACAGGATATATGAAAAGGGGGGAGAATTCTGACAGTAGAAGGGCCTAATCAGGGATGGGGTGGAGAGAGGGAAGTTAGAGGCAGGGAGCTGGGGGAGGTCAACCTACACTAAGGATTATGAAAACAATCACAAAACTTGTTACTTTGTATGCTAACTGTAAAAGACTAAAGGAAAGAAAAAGATACAGGCATTTAAGGGCCAGAGCAGGCAGGTGAACACGGCCAGGGCAGACAGGAGGTCTCTGTGGGGGCAGGCCTCACTTCCCCCCATCTGGGGGCCCGGCTGAAGGGGGTCTCAGTACAGGTGGAGCAGGCTGGGGTTCAGGGTACCTTCCCGGTCCTGGCGAAGGCCTCTGCCACCTTCCTGTTCCGCCCTCCGTAGCAGGTGGTGATGAGGTCAGCTACCCCGCAGCTCTCCAGGAAGGTGGCCATGGACACCTGGCCCTTACAAAAGATCTTGGCGAAAGCGATCATTTCCATGAGTCCTAGGCGGATGACGGCCGCCTTGGTGTTGTCCCCACAGCGGAGGCCATCGCAGAAGCCGGCTCCCACAGCAACAATGTTCTGCAGAGACCACAGAGGAGGCGCTGACACCAGAGCTCACACGGCCTTAAAGGGCCAGGATGCACTGCGGTGGGGTCAGCATGGGCTGGGCAGCTAGAGCCGTTGGCAGCAGTCTCTGGGCAAACTAGTTTGCCTTTTCTTATCAAAACAGTGCTAGGCTGTGGCTTGGTGCCTCACTCCTTTAACCCCAGAATTAGAGAGGCAGAGGCAGATGGATTCCTGCAAATTTGAGGCCAGCTTGATCTATACACTGAGTTCCAGTCCCGTCAGAGCTGCAAACCATGTATCAAACAAGCACCACCACGACCACCTCCTCACCACACACCTCCTCACCACACACCTCCTCACCACACACCACCTCCACTACCCCATCACACCCCCACCCCCACGACAATCACCACCGTACTCTCCATGCAAACAAACACAAGGATCTGCGTTTGATCCTCAGAGTTCACGTTTCCTTAAAAAGGGGCCCCACCCTGAAATCCGCCGCCGTGCAAACTGCCAGGAAAATGGGTGAACTGAGCGAGCTCCTCTACAGCTGCTAATGTGTCACTGAGCATCTGGCTCTTGTCTGTGGCTGACGGCCTGCGGGCCGTTCTCTTGGGTATGGGTTAGGACAGCGGCTCTCAACCTCCCAAGGCTGCCGTCCTTTGATACATTTCCTCGTGTTAGGATGGTCAGCCATAAAACTTTCATTGCTACTTCATAACTGTAATTTCGCTACTTTTATGAACTGTAATGTAAATGATCTATTCTCCGATGGTCTTTGGCGACCCATACGCGAAACGGTTGTTCGACCCTTAAGGGGATCTTGAGAACCACTGGTCTAGGCTTGCTGGGTTACTAGGTAAACATACATGCAACTATTTGTTTCCTTTGAATGAATACTCATGGGGTACCCACTCTTTGTATTGTATTGCATCTGCTCCCCTATGGACAGGCAAATCAGATATGGGACCCTCTTTCCTAGGTGATAATCTGGTATAGAGGACGCCCACCTAGTGCTGGTATTTACAGTCACGAGTGGTCCACGAGTGGAGCCTGTCCACACCACCTGCTGATGACTCTGTCACTTACATGACAGACATGTGGGCCGGGGACCGAAGGCATTTCCTATCTAAGCCCTTGCAGAAAAAGCTTGCCGGTCATAACAGGAAAAATAAAATGTGTGTACAAATGGCAGTCCCTTCTTTCTGGAGGTCCGACAGCCCATCTGACTCTTCTAGCTCTTATTGGACTTGACCTCCAAGGATACCATCTGAACTGGCTTACCAAACAAGGGGCCTCTGCTTGCAGATCGGGCCCCGTGTCGGGAAACTTGGTTAAAGAGTCTAGGAAGGCCAAGGTTAGACCCACGCCCAGCGCACTGAGCTGGGCCACCCTGATATGTCTGTTTTGTATCGGTTTCCACAGTGGCCACTAAGCCTTTATAAAGTCCAGCTCGGAAGCAGGCGGGCGGTCTCCTTGAGCTCCTGTCAGTGAGCTAAGGCTTAGAGTGGAATCCAAGCTAAATGACTGGAGTTTGAACCTCTCTGCTGTCTCTTGGACTACGTGTCTGTGTCACGCATTCTAGATGATGACATGATGGACCAATCCTAGGAATTATCTATGGCTTCATGGGGAGAGCAGGCTCTTTCATGCAGCAGGGGTTCCTGCCGATGACGGTGGGGCCACACCAAGACTCTGAGGCATGGGCTCACACTCCTACCCCCTGATGGAGAGGCGGAAGAAGCGGGACTCACCCCTGAGGCCCAACCCCCAGACAAGATATGTGCCCTGCGTGTCACTGATTCCAATGTCTAGGGCACTTGTCCTCTCTCTTCCCAGGGTCCTCACACCCTTGCAATTCAGTGTCGCAGGGACAGGCCTCCATGGCTTCCCTGAGGCAGAGGGAGGCGGAGGGCAGGTCGGGAAGAGAGAGACAACCCGGATAGCAACGGCTAACGGCGCAGTGCTAGACTGCTGGCTAGCAAGTGAAAGGCCTGGCTGCAAACACTAAAAATAGAATAGATCCACACCTCACAGATCCTCACACGGCGGCCCCTTCATCACGCACAGTGGAGGATGAGGAAACCAGAGACACACCATGCCCTCAGGCTCAGCGAGCAAAAGACACAGATCCGCCACCCCCCTAGAGTCCAGGCAAGGGCTTTCTCACAGGAGAAACCAAAAAAGATTTGGCAGGAGTCCTCTGTCAACTGGCTAAGCAGGGTAGTGTGAACAAGCCTCCAGTGCCAGCCCAGCTCTTCTGGTCGCTGCATTCAGAGAAAAGGCAGACAAGGAAGAGGCCAGAGGGAGCAGGCTCCCCAGCATGACTCTGGGGTCTCGGCCGCCTCAAAGATTCCAGGAGTGGCTGACGTCCCCACCAGGGGGCCTAGGACAGGCCAGCTGTCTTCTAATGGGACCCTGGACCCCCCCAGCTAACACACACACACACACACACACACACACACACACACACACACACACACACACACACACACGGAGCCAGCTAGAGCATGTTTGAGCAGAGTTTGAGCAGAGGTCCCTTGAGAAAGCTCAGCTATGAAAGTTATTGTTACACCCCCCCCCCACCGTCTTGCTTGTACAAATCTGCCCTCAACTAGCTGAAGCTATAAATGTCATGGTTTTTGGAAGACAGGTGTGTTAAACCTTTCCTCAGGCCCCAGGGTAGAGCAGCAGTCACAAGCAGCTGTCCACTCGGAGGGGCGGCTTCTTCAGTGGCGCACTGGGTCGGGTGGGTGGGGCTCAGTTCTACTCTTGCCCGGGCCGGGATGTAGACCTGCTGACAGAATGCTTGCCCAGCAAGTGTGATGTCCAGAGCTTGACTCCACCACGAGCTAGGAGTGGGTGCCACACACCTGCAAGCCCGGTGGGGTCAGGAGGGTCAGGAAGGTCAAGGGTGGGGCTGGAGAGGTGGCTTAGTGGTTAAAAGCACTGGCTGCTCTTCCAGAGGACCCGGGTTCAATTCCCAGCACCCACATGGTGGCTTACAACCATCTGCAACTCCACTGCTGAGGGATCCCACACCCCCTTCTGGTCTGCAGGCATTGCACACACGTGGTGCATGGACAGGGGTTTGGGCAAGCACCCAAACACATAACATTTTAAAAATTAAAAGAAAAGCTGGCGCGGGGGGGACGCCTTTAACCCTAGCACTCGGGAGGCAGAGGCAGGCAGATCTCTGAGAGTTGGAGGCCAGCCTGGTCTACAAAGCGAGTTCCAGGACAGCCAAGGCTGTCTCGAGACAAAGAAACCCTGTCTTGAAAAACAAAACAAAACAAAAAGAAGGAAGAAAAAGCTCAAGGTCATCAGGCGCATATGGCGTTCAAAGTGTCTCGTCCTCCCTCCCCCAATGTCTGTCTCTCCGTATTCACATACGTATATCATCTATAGGTATGTGTATACGTCAAGCCAGCAGGCAGCCATGCCCCTGCAGGGCATACAAACACTCCTACCACGTAGGTAGAACTATTCTACAGTACCCAGGGCAGCTCCCCCTCTTCTGGAAGTCAAGCATCGCACCTAGTGGCCGTCTGAACTCTTGCGTTAGCCATCTAAAGAGAGCGCCCTCACCTGGCCTGAGATTCCCGAGACTCCGAAAGCCTCCCTGGCTTACAGTCACAGGTAAGCCACATTTGCTTCTAGAAGCAAGTATTTTTTTAACTCAAAATTTTGTTAGTGTGTGTGCGCCACGTGGAGGTCAGAGGTCAACTTTGTGGAATCCGTTCCCTCCATCCACCTTCGTGTGGTTTCCAGAGAGTTCTGACTTTAGGCTTGTGCAGGGACCATCTTTACCCACTGAGCTGTCTCACCGGCCTGTCTTTTTGATAATGGATACATGACTCAGGTCCAGGCTACGTGGACGCAAACTAAGCAGTTCTAGCTAGAACAAAAGTGATTCCACACACAACCACTGACACTGGAGTCAAGTAAGCGGGAAAATAAACAAGACGGGTTTGGATGAAAGAAAATTAAGGGTTGGCCAAAATATAATTGGTTTGTGTAACAGATGAGACCCAACCACGTGTGCCAGCCAGGCAGGTATGACAGACTGGAGGGGCTTATGCCAACTGACAGCCTGTTTGAGAGACTGTGGTGGTTAACGTTAGTCATCACGCAGGACGAGTGCCTCCAGGCACACGGCATGAGATCACACTGACTGGGTTAGCCAAGGTGGGAAGACCCCTCCAAACAGGGCGGTACCATTCTCTGGGATGGGGTCCCCCACTGAATAAGAAGGAGAAAAGGACAATCACCAGCATCCACCTCTCTGGGCTTCCTGACTGCGCTTACAGTGTGACCTGCCAGCGCCCCCGCCCCCCCTTCCTGTCACTTTGTCTTCTCACCTGCCGCCTCGTCCCTCTTGCCATGACAGCTTAATCCCCCAGGACTGTGGGCTGGGCATTGGTGGTGCACGCCTTTAATCCCAGCACTCAGGAGTCAGGGGCAGGCAGATCTCTGTGAGTTCAAGAACAGCCTGGTCTACAGAGAGAGTTCCAGGACAGCCTCCAAAACAATACAGAGAAACCCTGTCTCAAAAATACAAAACAACAGCAACAACAAAAGACACTGTGATTACTCTGCGGATAGGCACCAGCAAAGGAGCTAGCCAGGTCAGGCTGTTAGCCCTGGGTACCAGAAGGCACCATCTGCGACCAGAAGCTCATGTCACAGCCAGGGGACAACACTGGGGTGTGCTTGGAGGATGCAGAGCCGGGCACCCCTTCTGTTCTGCCTGAGTGTGTGTGTGCAGTGAGATCTCCAGCTTCCTGAGTGTGTGTGCAGTGTGATCAGCCAGCTTCCTGAGTATGTGTGCAGTGAGATCTCCAGCTTCCTGAGTGTGTGTGCAGTGAGATCTCCAGCTTCCTGAGTGTGTGTGCAGTGAGATCTCCAGCTTCCTGAGTGTGTGTGAAGTGAGATCAGCCAGCTTCCTGAGTGTGTGTGTGTGTGTGTGTGATCAGCCAGCTTCCTGAGTGTGTGCAGTGAGATCTCCA